ATCACTATTTCATAATATATTTCACTCACAAATGGGGATGAAACGAGGGCATAGAGTTAAGAATGTCAAGTGAGCACGAGAAAAGGCGAGATGTGGGATGAGCCGAGCAAGCTGGTTCGTTACGTGAGCAAAGTCATAACTCAACTTGCAAGCCTAATAGCTCACCTAGCTCAGGCATGCTGGAAAAACAGGCATAGCTTGGCTGTATTATCAGCCATGATGTTATGCCTACTCCATCTAGGATTTGATGGCACGTGTCAATGCAGGATGCCATTAATTCAATTTAGGCAGCTTAACGACCTCCTAAATTCAAATTTTTTTTTTTTTAATTTCTAATGTATAAATAGGTGCAATGTAAACCTAATTCATCACACTTTCACAATTCTCTACAATCTCTGTAAAATATCACTATCGTCTCTCTAACAATATAATTCTATAATTTTTTATACAGTTTTTCCTTCGTTTCCAATTATTTCTTCAGATTCCTATATCTCTTTTACCAGTTAAATGTTTTTTCCTATATTTTTTTATGAAATTTGTAATGGATTACTCTGAATTCATAAACCCCGATGATGATGTTCACCTATTTTTTTATAGTTCCAATACTTCCCTAAATGACTATTCTGGTCTATACGATGTTTCAATTCCTGAAAATGAGGGTACTACCAAATTGACTACTATATAGCTTGAGCTAATTTTGAAGAAGAAACAATCTCTAGAAAGAGATCAATGTATTTAAAAGCTCGTGAGATACTTCTTGAAATAGTTATGAAATAAACTTATGTATCCTCCTGGTGGCACGAGGTATTTCTGCTTCTCCGAATGAATGTTACATGCAAAATGAGATTTGGGTTTTGTCCCTTGCTGTACCTCCAGTGCGAGAATTAGTAGATGAGTTAGGAATGTAGGAAGAAAAGATAAAATGAATATTCAAATAGTCAGTTTTTTTTCAATCCATATATGTCCCGCTTTAGGAGTATTTACAAGCGTTTGAAGCCACGCAACTGTTGGGCAATTACCATGCCACGTGTCCCACGTAACTTTTCCCAATATCCCCACATTCTAAGTAGGGGACCTTTACCTATCAAGCAGTTAGCCTGCCCATGCTAATCATTGAGCCGTTCCCATTAAAGGTCATTAAATTTTCTCATAATACACAAATATTTTAGTGAATGTCCTTAGGTAATTTTGTTTTGTTATGAATTGATCGTAAAATAATGACAATAATGAAATAAATAGCAAGTTTTATGCTGATAACTCCCAAATCAGATTACTATAGGGCACCAAGTTTTTAGATACTCTTGTAAGCTTAATCACCAGAGTCATGAAGGCTACAAAGAGAAATATAGGGTTTATCATGCTTTCTTTTCTTTCTTTTTATATTTTATGTTCAAGACTTCTCTCCATTAAACTTTTCAAATGACCCCTTTAACGGGCTTTAGATCAATGGCTTCCAAGTCGAATGACTATAGGTCACCAAGTTTTCAGATATACTTGTAGACTTAATCATTCGAGTCATAAAAGCTATGAAAAGAAGTATAAGATTTATCATATTTTCTTTTGATACGGTATTCGAATTTAAAAAATGATCAGTGTCCGTTCTAGACTCCTTAACTCAAGCTACTTCAACCAAATATTTAATCCAAGAACTTCAAACCATCAAACTCTATGATCACAAAAAATAATCTTCCCACCCTTTTATTAGTTTTGTTTCTCTATTAAGGATTTGGAGATTCTAGCAATTAGTTTACTATGTTTAAGATTTGAGAATTTATTTCCTCAACAGCATCAACAATTAAGTTCACAAAATCAAATCGTGTCCCAAAATAAGTAATAAGTTAATGGCTATGTACTCAAATAATCAAGTCTAACATGGATAAGTACGTCAAGTAAAAATACATATTATGATGTTGTCCAATTCTAATTAAAGTTGTACTCAATTCAAACAAATAAGCAAGCTGTTTAACGCTAAACTAGACACTATTTTTAGATTATTTTTTTTTCAATTTTTATATCGTCCTGATCAACAGTTGAAAAATAAACATAAATATTATAAGTATTGGTGCACAACGTCCCTACATTGACCAATTTTAATCAATTACAATCTTGACCAATTTTTTTGTACACAAAATATAAGTTTTAAATTTATTATATTAGGTTGCCATTTCATATTTTTAAATAGGGTAATTGGTGCACAACGTCCCTACCTTTTAAGTTTATTGTAGAAAACATCCCTACATTTGATTTTTTGGCACAAAACTTCCCTAACTTCTGCATTTCTTTGCACTGAACGTCCTTTACACATTTTTTTAATTGAAAATGAACAATACATCCTCCTATGTAAATAGAACAAGAGAAGAAAGAAAATAAAAATAGAAAAGAAATTGTAACTATAGGCCTGAACTTTTTAAAATGTGCAACTAACTGCCCTATCTTTCAAAATCTAACCGAACTAAGGGGCGATTTTTGCACCCTTTTGGCCGAAAATTCCGGCAATCTACCGCCTTCAAAACCACCGGATATTGCTACTACTGGAAAGAGCACATCTTCCTCTTCAATTCCATCCAAAGAACTCCCTCTAACTCGTTGTAATCTGGCCGAAAATGGAGTTCAAAGTTCGCTGCCCAGTTTTTTGCAAACTGCCGGAATCCCTCGTTTCCGGCAACCAAATTGGCCGGGGCCAACCACCGGTCGATAACCTACCCTTGGACGACCCTACCCATGGAAACAATTCAGCCCAAACATCAATTCATCAGTTCGAATTAAACCCAGAAGCTCTGCCGGTCGCGAGCAGCGTAAATCGGGACTTTCTTCTGCTGATTTCGGCGCCGTCCGGCTGAATCAAGATGGAGGACCACCTGGGAATGACTCCCCACTACCTGACGCCCCTTGCCCAAACATGGGTCAAGGCCAATTCAGCTCTGAGCTCGATCAATTTCGTGGTTTTTGAGAGAAACATCAATTTTGCTCTCTCCGCGTGCTTGTGTATTTTCTTTTCTTTTCTTTCCTTTCTTTTTTCTTTTGCCTCTTGTTTGTTTCCTTTCTTGTTTTTGTACAATATTTGAAAGAACGATGAATATTTGTGGGCTTGTGGGCGGCGATTATTTTAATAAAAATTTGAAAAATGTTTTCTTAAGTTTTGAAATTTGAAACAAACCTTGCATCTGATTTTTTAAGTTGGATTTTGAAAGATATGGTGGTTATTTGGATATTTTAAAAAGTTCAGGCCTATAGTTGCAATTTCTTTTTTATTTTTATTTTCTTTCTTTTCTTGATCTATTTACATAGGAGGGTGTATTGGTCATTTTCAATTAAAAAAAAATGTGTAAAGGTCGTTCAGTGCAAAGAAATGCAGAAGGTAGGGACGTTTTGTGCCAAAAAATCAAACGTAGGGATGTTTTCTACAATAAACTTGAAAGGTAGGGACGTTGTGCGCCAAAAAATCAAACGTATGGATGTTTTCCACACAACCCTTCAAAGGTAGTGACGTTTTGCGCCAATTACCCTTTTAAATAAATGATATTATATTCACATTATAGTTTTTATTAATAACAACACATTTAAATTGCACTCAAGGTCTTCAATCTTTCTTCATTGTAGCTCTTATTTTCATAACTTATTTGGCGCATTTTTTTTGTTTCTAAGGGTCCGTTTGATTGCAAGAGTGAAAAATGTGTGGAAATAAATGAATTATAGAGAAAATAATTGTTTAAAACTTGTTTTCCAGGGAATTGTTAATTAAGTGTGTTTGATTGATATAATTTTTCACCCGAAATATTTTAAAATTTTGAAACTTTTTGTGTTCATTTGGCTTTGTTTTATATGAAAATTATCCATTAAAGTGATATTTTTTTCCACAATTGGTTATAAAATTTGTTTCAATAGCAAGGAAAAAAAAATTGAAATTCCATTTTCCCACCAAAATAGTGGGAAAAGCAATTCCTCCAAAATCAAGAAAGGTGCACGTGGGGGGTTGGGTGGGAAAATCAATTGCCAAGAACTTTTTGCCCATCAAACATGCTTTTTGGGTGGAAATGGAATTTGAATTCCATTTTTTATGGAAAACTTATGGTATCAAACAGGACCTAATAAAAGTTTCTATTCAAAAAATCTTTAGAAGGGCATACAACATCTTATTTTTAATTTTCTTATTATATTTTAAGAAATAATAAATGTAAAAGTGCAACAAAAATATTTTCCCATCATTTCAAAGTATATGTACAAAATTTTATGAATAAAATGAGATGTACTAATTAATGAAAAAACGAAGATGTGAATTCCATGAAATAAAAGTTAGGAACATAAATTTTACATTGAACAATTGAGGACCTTAAATAAAAATGTAATACAATAAATAAAAATTATGTTATTCATATATTTATCCTTAAAAAAACTATACAATATAGTTCTACTCTTTCTATGTATCATGTAGCTGATCCTTTACAAAATTTATTTTTTCACCGTCACCATTTACCAATTTGCGACTTTGTTACTTTCCAGAAAAGTGATGAATGAACTGAGTTGAATTTTTTTTGAACGAACTAACTTTTGCTCGGCTCATCCAAAAGTGAGCTCGTACTATGGGCAGAATCAAACCCGACGGTGAATGAGCCGAGCTAGCATGAGTTGCCTCATTAACGGGACATTAGTTTAATCTCACATTATGACGATGAATTTTATCTTCCTAGTGCTAAGACAAGAAACCTCTTGAACTACAATATGAAGCCATGCTTCATATCTATAGGGAACAAACTGAATACTGCAATGCTTAACTTCAAATCAGAAGCTAAAAGCGAGAACTAAAAGAAACCTTCAACACAATACACACTGATATTCACAATAACCACAAAGTTAACATTTTACAGCATTTAAACAAACTCATAAGACTGCATTACATTGACAAGAACAGCATACAGATAAAGATAACACATTACGGAATTCCAAGAGATCGCATACAGTGATTATTTCGAGTACTAAATATCGAATATTTATAAGCAACGTCAAGCGGTAAGAGTAGCGTGTTTGTTAACAAGTGCCTGCAAATCCTCCTTCTTTGCACCCACGAGCCTATCCACTTCCTTCCCGTCTTTGAGGAACACAAAGGTCGGCATGGCATTCACTTTCCATTCCTCAGCAACAGTCTGCAGAAAAAAACTTCACTACATCAACAATTGCACACAGGACTCAGCCACGGTTCAACCATGACATATACTTCTTTCTGTTATGAATATCCTTGACATCATAGAACCTTAATGCTTGGTCGTTGATATGATTTTGTTTTCATATTGACGAAACGTGTAATTTTTTGTAAAATTTTTTATATATTACTTAATTTAATTATTTAACCATCAGTTCAACTACATTCTTAGTCCCACCAAAAATAAGTGCAAAAATATACCTTGAGTTCATCAACATCCACCTTCAAGAATATAACATGTGTTGCCATCTTGGCAATCTCAGCAAAAATCGGGGCAATAACCCGGCATGGCCCACACCACGAAGCTGTGAAATCAACGACCACCTGATCAAAGAGTTCATCACATCAAACTTCAATCCTCAACACTGATTCGATCCGACCTCTAGAAATTGGAATAAGGTCATTTTATTTCTATTTTTCCATAAATAGAAGCCAACAATGAGAAACAAAAGGGGAGCAGCAACAACGCGATTTTTTTCCTTTGTTGAAGTAGAATGGATTGTAAAATGAACGAGTGAATTCTATCTAGTGCAATTTTACACAAAGGTTGCCATTAAAAATTAGATTCATGATTGAAATGTGTTATTAATTACTCGATAATAAGTTGAATACAAACAATGTTTTGAAACACATCACCATCAGTTAACACTTCAATACAAAAAGGAACCAAAATCTTGGCCTTAGGAGCGGAAGCATTAATATTCCACAGTTGGGAGAGACAATTAAGAATATGAAATAGTTGTTAAAAAAAAAAAAAAATTCAAATTTATGTTTGGTTAAGCATTAAAAATTTCAACAATTAAACCTCGGTTCCAAAAATAAATATAAAGTCGATTGCATTAGTTTTATTGCTGAATAATATAATGCTATCTAGCATATACTGTTTAACACTAGTGTAAGTGATATCACATAATATTTTTTTATTTTTGATAACCGTGAGTGTTCGAGTCAGTTTGCGCGCACCTCGACTAATTTCACGAGACCCTGAGGTTTATGCTCGGGTATTTACCTCAGTGGCTCTGAGGGGAGTTGAACTGGTGACCAATGAGGATCAAATCCAATATCTGACCAATTGAACAACCCCTCAAAATTTGTTTTATTAAATGGACAATAACTCCTTACATTTAATCGAACCTAGTATTTAATGCTCCAAATGTTGCCACCTAAACTGTGTTTAACACAAATAATTCAACACAAAAGAATCATTTTATATTAAGGAGCACACAAACAATTAAGAGCAAAAAGAATCCTCGACTCATTTCTATCTATTATAAATTCTTCCCAAAATGGAGGCTGAAACTCTAATACAACAAATATTACTAACTAAAACCCACAAAAACACAGAATTTCTAAATCAAATCAAACCAACCCACAAGATAAAATCACAAAATATTCAGAACCAAGATCAAAAAACAACAAACCCATATCTATATATGCATAATCAATAATTTAAATTCTAAAAAATTGACCAAAAAGTATGCTTAAGCTGTATACTATACCAATTTATTGAGCCCAACGCCCTTCTGAAACTGCTCCGTCCATTGCTCAACAGAGTGGCAACCAATAACCTGTCCCTCTTCTGAAGACATTAGATCCAAAATTCAAGATTCTTAAGCCTATTTTCTTGGAAAACTATTGAGTTTCTTTGAAGAAGGAAGAAGATAGATCATTTTCCTTATATAATGGAATAGATCTGTGCAAATTTACTCATACGCGACGCGCGTCACGTATTTCCTTAATCATTTATGAAAAAGTTTCTTATTAGTCCTTAATTTATTATTCTAATAGAAAATTGGTCCTTACCCTTGTATATGATTATACAGTCAATCTTAAAATAACAAAAACGATTCAATTTTTGTTAAATTGTTGTTTGATCTTTACATATATAGCTTTATAAACTTAAATTTTGCTTTGTAGCTTCGAATGGAGTCTACAATTTGCAAAATAAGACATGTTCATACGGGAATCACTTAGGTCATTTTTGATACCCTTAATTTTCCCTAGAACTAGGAATTTTTTTCCATTTTCTAGCTTTTACCTTGTTTTGTAGTAGAATGTTTTCATGGAAATTTTTTTTCTCACTTTCTCTCACACGTGAACATTTTCCTTGATTTTGTTGTTATTTTATTTTATTTTTTATTTTTTTGGTAATTGGAAAAAATTCTAGACCCAATGGTAAAAAAATTTATCACTTTTATTGACAATTTCCATGCAAAACATAGTCAAACGAATGGTATTATGTATGATAATTTTTTTAATTTTTTTTGGGGCAAGTAAAACAAATTTTAGACCCAATGGTAAAAGAAATTATCACTTTAATGGACAATTTTCATAAAAAACAAAGTCAAACAGACACCAAACTTTCAACTTTTTTTAGGTGAAAAATTATATTAATCAAACACAATTAATTACAATTCCCAATAAAACAATTTCTAAATAATTTAATTCCTCAGAATTCATTTTTTTTCCACCCATTTTCTACATTTGCAATCAAACGGACCCTTAAATCAACAAAGGTTTGGAAAATTATCTTTCTTAGATGGTGTGGACCTATAAAATTATCTTAATGTATACTAAAGCCAGTCAAAAGTTTTTGTTAGTGATAGATTCATTCGACATGTATAATGAACTTGTCAAGATCAACTCGATACATTTAAAAGGCTAAGACTAACTTGCAATTGACATAATAGGTTAAGGACCAGTGGTGCAAAATTTTCTTATATATCATTTCATTATTTCCTGTGGGCTTCAATGGGAACGGTCATTTCATAAGATTGATCGTGTCTGATTTTCTTTTGATAGAATAATGAAACAATTATTTGCTTTCCTTATCTAACTTCTTGGTGTTTGCCAGGTATTGCTTTCTTTGATTAATACATTTCATTATTTGCTTTCCTTAGTTAAGTTTTTATTTATGATCCTTATCTACGAAGGAAAGAAATGAAAATCAGTAATTAATGACACAGATTTCTTTCGCTCTACCTAACATTGACATCATTTGAGACATATGTTTGGTGATATCTACTAAACGCGTTTCAATATAATTAATGCAAATCAAATGAATTTTTCGAAAAATAAAATACAAATATCGAAGTGGAAAAATCATGAAAAAGGCGCATCGCTGCATTCCTACTAAACAACATTGGGAAAGCTAATTTTTTATTAATATTCCTTAGTTAAAGAGGGAAAGAAATGAAAATTGGTTCGCTCTACCTATCATTGACACGATTTGAGACACGTGTTTTGTGATATCTACTAAATGCGTCTCAATATAATTAATGCAAATTAAATGATGTTTTTGATAAAAGTTAAATACAAACATTGAGGTGGAAAATGTGTTCAACCGTGAAATCCTACATTCCCACTAAACTACTTTGCGAAAGTGATGCTATCTTATACTATGTAAGAGGTTTCGTGTCTATGACTTGGAGCTCTCTAATTTCACTAAAATAGAAAGATAAGAACTGCACATTTCAAGAACACACCGTCATATAAAATAATTGCACAAAAATCTCGTTGTATGCTTCTTCATATTGTGTAGAGCAAGCGATGATAAAATTTTACAATAAATTACTTGCCTAAAACTAAAAAGATGAAATTAAGTAGATATATAAGTACAAAAGGTATAGTAATTTTCCAAGATTTATTCTAATTAATAATTCAGTTTGTCATAAGAAAAAAAAATAAAATTAGACATGTTTAAATATTGGAATTAAGTTAGTTGGTAAATGATAAAAAAAATTAACTTTTACCAAAATATCGGATATACACTTACAGCATCTAGCAATTCAGCACCTCGATTCTCACAACCTCTTGCATCTTTGAATTTATTTTATGCTGATGCTCCAATAAAGGTTTATACCCTTCTTCCATCAAAATTTTGAGCATATGAAGAGAAGGGGTCGATTCCTTTAATATCAGAGATACAACATCCAATTAATGTCCTATAATCTCTAAGTAACCTCAGCAACTTTCTTCTTCTATTCTGATGAGAGAATTCAAAAAAAATAACCGAAAGTTTAGCTTTCTCACCTAGATAGGCATATCATAGATAAGCTGTCAATTGTTTCAACTTGAGAGTTGGATGCTTTTGAATAGATGGTAGAGGTTTTGTAGGACCTTTACCAAGCTCCAACTGTGACTGTTTAATGAATTGCGAGTTTGCCTCCATGTATAGAATGCATTCCTCTACTTCTGTATTACCAATCAAGCCTCATGAGGATCTTTAGAGTGATCACGTATCGACATTTCTCTATCTATCACATCAATCTGGAAAAGTTGGATATTTGATGCTTTGAAGATGCTGATTGTTACTTCTTTTTATCATTGAGCCTCAAAATCAATTGTCACCTCTGTACATTAATTAATGCTCAGCAAGTAGCTGAGAATGAACGTCTCAAGATGAGACGGACGTCTTTCTCTTTCTCCACATCATGCACGATAAACTCGGCAGAGAAGATGAACTTTTCATCCTTTACCAATATATCCTCAATTATGCCTCGAGGGTATTTGATTGATAAGTCAGATAGTTGCAATGAAACTGTAGGAGTCTTTGCTTCTCCAATTCTTAATTTCCTAAATACAGAAATGGCTTGAAGTTAATGCTATCTTTTAAATCACACAGGTTTATCGAAGTGACTGTTACCAATATTACAAGGGATATTCCGATTCCGTGGATCCTTTAGCTTTGGTGGTAGCTTATCCTGCAGAATATCCCAAATGCTCTTTGTCAGATTCCCATCTAATTATCCTCCAACTTCTGCTTGTTTGACAATATGTCTTTCGTATAACTGGGCATATGAGCTAAGGTATCTGCAAATGATATGTTGACAAGTAGCTTTCTTAAAAAAAATATGTAAACTAATTGTCTAGCTTATGTTTGACTTTTGTTGAACAGCTTATTCCTCGCCCATGATAGGTACCTTTTATTTAACATTGGCACACCTTATCGCGTGTATCTTTAGTAGCTGAACTCCATTGCATTTAGTGATGACCTTTACCTGTTCATTGGGATCTGTCTTTACTTGGTAAATGTCATTGGGTTTTGTCAGATAATGCAGCTTCAATCTGCCTACCTATTTTTCCGAACTCTTAATTGAAGCCGGTTTGTTATACAAAGTAGAGTTATTTTTCGCAATGTACTAAGTAATCAGTTCCTCTAACGTTGGCTTCTTTTCCGCTCTGTGACTTTCCTTTCTAGTCATTAATTATGAATTAGTTTCAAAACTTTTTCAGTCGATTTTTATTTATAAATAATTTTTTAAAAATTGATTTGTTAAATAAAAGTCAACACATTTGTAATTAAAGATGCCCATAAAATAATAAGGAAAAATAATTTGATTTTTGTTTAGAATCTCTCATTTGATCCTTCTAATAATTATAATGTAAAAGTGATGCGAACATCAATCATCGAGATTTAGTTTTTATTGTTATTGGATCTTATTAGTTATGTTTTCTATTATTGGACTTGTAGCAGTGGATTGGCCCAAACCTCTTTGTTATGTTTTTACTATTTATTGGATATTTTCATTGTTGTTGAATTAGATAATGAATGAATAAAAATAAATTTAGTTTTTGGCTTGCAGCTACGTTTCCTCTCTTCCCCTTTTCTCCCCTGATATATGGAGCACAAAATTGAAGATTTATGTAGCACAAAATTGAGTTTTTGGCTTGATGCGTGCATGATATGGTGGAGCACAAAATTGAACTCTTTTCATCTCTCAAGACCTATGGGAGCTTGTAGAAAAGGGGTATAGTACTAAGTACAAGTGATGTTTCAACTGATGTTCTTCAAGATTTGAAGAAGAAAGATGCTAAAGCTTTTGCTGTCATTCAACGAGCATTAGATGACAGCATTTTTCATCGAATTTCTGGTGCAGAAACGTCCAATGAAGCTTGGGACATACTACACAGAGGTTTTCAAGGAACATCCAAGGTAGTTACTGTTAAGTTACAAACTTTTGAGAGTTCTTTCGAAGGATGGTGACTCAATTGACACTTATTTCTCAAAGTTGGTTCACACTGCAGCCTACCTTCTCAACCAAAGTCCTACGATGGTGTTGGGATTGACCAAAATAATTATGGAATAAAGAATTCTTGTTTGACAAGAAAAGGAAAAAAAAGTGGTCAAGTTAAATTAGGAGTATTTTTCTTTATGGAAATATTACCAAGTAGAAAAGGAAAATGATATTTTTGGTATTATTATATAAGGAAAATAATTAAGAGAGTTCAATTGTAATTAGGTAACTTTTTGGCATAATTTATGGCTATATATACAATTGAAGTTGACGTGAAAAGAGGAGAAAAAGAAACAGAGAGAGAGAGAGAAGAATTCTGAGACGTGAAAAAGTGAG